CTCATCAAGTTGCCCAGGCAGGTCTCGAACCCGCGGGCTCAGGTAATCCACTCACCTCAGTCTCCCAAAGCGTGGGATTACAGGCTGAGCCACTGAGCCCCCCCATATCTTCTTTTGAGAACTGCGTATTCATATCTTTTGCCCACTTTCTTTTGAGAACTGGGTATTCATATCTTTTGCCCACTTTGTAATGAGGCTGTGTGTTTTCTTATTTTCAGCATGTTTGAGTTCCTTGTAGATTCTAGATGTTAGGCCTTTGTCAGACATGGAGTTGGCAATTTTTTCCAATCTGTGGGCTGTCTCCCCACTTTCTTGATGGTTTCTTTGGCTTTGCAGAAGCCTGTCAGTTTGATGAGGTCCCACTTATATGTTATCTCTTAGGGCCTGGGCACTTGGGGTTTTGATCAGGAATTGGTTGCCAGTTCCAACTTCCATAAGGGTGTCTCCTGCATTTTCTAAGGGTCTTATAGTTTGAGGTTTTATGTTTAGGTCTCTTATCCATTTAGAGTTAATTTTTGTGTATGGGGATAGGCAGGGGTCCTGTTTCAATCTTCTGTATGTGGTCAGCCAGTTTTCCCAGCACCATTTCCTGAATAGGTTCTCCTCTTTCCAGTGGTTGGTGGTGGAGACTTTGTTAAAGATGAGTTGGTTGGGAAATTGAGGTTTTGCTTCTGGAATCTCAATTCTATTCCATTGATCTATATGCCTGTTCTTGTACCAATATCAGGCTGTTGTGATTATTGTAGCTTTGTAATAAAGTATAAAGTCTGGGAGTGTGATACCTCCTGCTTTTTTTTTTTTTTTTTGCTGAGGATGGTTTTGGCTGTTTGTGATCGTTTATGTTTCCATATGAATTCCTGTATTGTTGTTTCTAGGTCTGAGAAGAATACTACTGGTAATTTGATGGGTATTGCATTAAATCTGTAGATTGCCTTAGGTAGAATGGGCATCTTAATGATGTTGATTCTTCTGATCCATGGGCATGGAATATTTTTCCACTTGTTTGTGTCATCTTTGATTTCTTTGAGCAGTGTTTTGTAGTTTTCATTGTAAAGGTCTTTCATATCTCTGGTTGGGAAGATGCCAAGGTATTTCATTTTTTTTGTGGCTATTGTGAATGGAATTGTGCTTTTTATTTTGGTTTCTGTTTGTTTACTATTGGTGTATAGAAATGAGACTGTCTTTTGCACATTTATTTTATACCCTGAGACTTTGCCAAAGTCCCTTATCAGTGCAAGGAGGTTTTTGACAGATTCTCGTGGGTTTTCAAGGTTTAGAATCATATCATCTGCAAGGAGAGAGAACTTGACTTCCTCTTTTCCTGTTTGGATACACCTCATCGCCTTCTCTTCTCTGATTGCTCTAGCTAGGATTTCCAAAACTATGTTGAACAGGAGGGGTGAGAGTGGGCATCCTTGTCTTGTTCCAGTTTTCAGGGGAAATGGTTCCAATTTCTGTCTGTTTAGCAGTACGCTGGCTGTGGGTTTCTCGTAGATGGCTCTTACTATTTTGAGGTGTTTCATCTATGCCTAGATGTTTGAGGGTTTTTATCAAAAAAGGATGCTGGATTTTATTAAAAGCTTTATCTGCATCTAATGATATAATCATGTGGTTTTTGTTTTTACATCTGTTGATGTGTTTTATTACATTTATAGCCTTATGAATGTTGAACCAGCCTTGCATCCTGGGGATGAAACCTACTTGGTCATGGTGGATGATTTTTGAGATGTGTTGTTGAATCCGGTTTGCTAGAATCTTGTTGAGAATTTTAGCATCTATGTTCATGAAAGATATTGGCCTGTAGTTCTCGTTCTTTGTTGGGTCTTTACCTGACTTGGGTATCAATGTGATGTTAGCTTCATAAAATGATTTTGGGAGAGTTCCATCTTTCTCAATCACCTGGATACTTTCAGTAGGATTGGTATGAGTTCCTCCTTGTATGTTTTGTAGAATTCTGCTGGAAAGTCATCTTGTCCAGGGCTTTTTTTTTGTAGGTAGTTTTCTTATGCCATAGTCAATTTTCTGGATTGTTATTGGTCTATTTAGGGTCTCAATTTCTTCTTGTTTCAACTTAGGGAGGTTGTGTGATGTCAGAAAGTCCTCCATTTCCTTCAGGTTTTCAAGCTTGTTTCTATGCCAGTGTACATAGTTGTCTTTGATAATGTTTTGTATTTCTTTAGGATCAGATATGACTTGTTCTTTTGTGTTTCTGATTGTTTTTATTTGGGCTTTTTCTCTCTTTTCTTGGTCAGTCTAGCTAGGGGACCATTAATCTTGTTTATTCTTTCAAAGAACCAGCTCTTTGTTTCGTTGATTTTTTGTCTTATCTTTTTGTCTTCTATGTCCCAGATTTGGGCTTTTATTTTGGTGATCTGGATTCTTCCACTGAAGTTAGGGTTTTGATGGTCTTGCTTTTCCAGATATTTTCAATATTTATCTTTTCTATATACTTTTCCAATTTAGGTATCATAATTTGTATGCTTACTTTATGTCTATATTATGTTTGTCATGCCTTATTAAAATTTGAATATTAGTAATTTTTGACATAAT